TAGGCCCTCCTCGACCTGGGGCAGAGTAGATTTTATCGTGAGGGAAGGGGGTCAAGGGGGGTCTGGCGCGGGGAGGGTGGAGGGTGCTAGACAGCGAGCGCACGGCGGCAGCAGCAGCAAGCGCAGCGCGGCGGCACGCGAAAACCAAACGGGCTGCGGCCGGGCGGCGGCCATCCGGGAGCGGGCCCCGCGCACCTGCACGCGCGTCGTGGTGCCGCTGAACGCGTCGACAGCGTCTATGCGCCCGCCGCCCTGCGGCCGGTTGTCTGTATGGGGTCGCGGGGACGAAAGAAGGGTGAGGGGCACGTGCCGAGGTGCAACCAGCCCACGCTGCCCCCTGCCGCGTCACCGCTCCTTGCTCGCGCGCCGCCCGGCCCCCCCACCACCACCACCGCCGGCCGCCCGCAGCAGCCCGCACGTGCAACACACCAGCCCTGCCGCCGCCGCCGCTGCGTCACACCCGCCGTGCGCCGGCTGAGTCGCCCGCCTCGGCCTCTGCCCCTCCCCCTCTTCGACCGCGAGCAGCCGCCCCCCTCACCACCTATGGGGGGCTAGTTTTTTGGGTTGGCCCCTAAACGCTAAACCCTAAACCCTTAACTAGAAACCCTGAACCCTCTCACCCGCGAGCGGCCCCCCCAGCAGCGAGCGAATGAGCTGCGTCTTGCCCGACCCCGCCAGGCCGATCACGAGGATCTTGATCCGCAGCCCCAGCGGCGACGAGGGGCCCTGAGGAGACGGGAAGGCGGGGAGACACAACAAGATCCCTGTCGCCGTGCCCTGACGAGCGTCCGCTCCAGTCCGGCGGGCCACGGCTGCCCAGACCGCTGTCATCGATCCCGGCCCCTGCACCCCAAGATGCACACAACCATCACCCCTCCTCTTTGCGGGCAGTCCATCGACTGCAGCCCTCAGCGACTGTACCGCACATCATGTATACCCCGCAGCGCCCCGCCCACCTCCGCCTCCTCCAGGCGCAGGGCCTCCCTGGCTGCCAGCACTGCGGGGTCCGGCCTGGGGGTGTCCAGGGTTGAGGGTTCAGCGTTCAGGGTCAGGAGGGAGGGAGGGAGGGAGGGAGGGGGAGTGTGCGTTTCAGGGGTGGGGGTGACACACAGGCGCGCGCACATGCATGATGCATATGCAGAAATCACGATGCCCCTACAAACAACTCGCTTCGCACTCTCTCCCGCTCCAAGAACCACATCACCACCATCAACGCCCCACGGCCACCCCATTCACGCACGCACACACACACACGCATTCACACACGCGCGTACACAGACACACACACGCTCACACTCACACAGCCTGTCACCACGTCCCAACTGCCCTTTATCAACCAAACACACCTGATGACGTCATCACTAGCGCCCCCCCCCCCCAAACCAAAGGCCTCACCTCCTGACCCCCTTGCGGAACGGCTCCTTGAGCTTCTCAGCCAAGTAGAACCTGTACAGCACCTGAGGTGCTCGCGCATTTGCATGTGCGTGAGCATGAGCATGTGCATATGCATGTGCATGTGCATGGGGTAGGGGGCGGCAAGGGAAGGGGTTCAGGAAGTGGGGGCAAGGCGTGGCGCATGCTCCGATGGAGTGCCGCGGCAGACCGGGTGCTGCCATGCACCCCACGAGGCCGGCCCGCTTCCGCCCGGCCCGCCGCTCCGCGCCGGAAGAGGGCGCCAGGGCTCCTCGGTTGCCAATAGAGGTGTGCGCCGCGAGCGATCGTCGATCGTGCGCGAGCCCGCTGCGGGCGCCGCTGTCAAGAATACTCAACACGCATAATCTGTCTCTCCCTCCCTCACACATACACACATTCACACGTAGTCTGACGCGCGCCGGTCACCTGCTTCACTATCCCGTTATCGTGGTCGTAGCCCAGCCGCTTCGCGATGCGTATCAGGTTGACCCGTATCCCGTGCAGCTGCACGCGCAGCTTCTGCGTAGCTTCCGGCTCCTCCGGGTCGATCACGCCGCAGCTGCTGCTGGCCGCCAGCCGCTGCGGCAGCGACGGCATGCCGCCGCGGGGCGCGGCCGACAGCGCACCCGGGCTTGCCGCCGCCGCCGCCACCGCGGCTGGCTTGGCAGCGGGCGAGAAGGCGCCGCGGGCGCCCGCGGCACCGCTGTTGCTGGGATGATGTTGCTGCTGCTGCTGCTCCTGCGGCTGCTTCTGATGGTGCTCCTGCTGCTGCTCTGATGGATTTGCATCGACGCCCCCTCCGCTGCTGCTGCTGCTGTTGCCCTTGGCAGCGGCCTTCCCTCTGGCTGGCAGAAACGGCCGGATCTGGCTCCCACCAGCGCCAACCTTTTCCGCGGCCCCCTTACCCGCCGCAGCGACGCCATTCGCCTTTGCTGCTGGCCGCTGCTGCTGCGGCTCAGAGGGCGCCAGCTCGCCGGCGGCCGGGGCGGCGCCGCTGCCGCTGCCGCCGCCCGCCGCCCCTTTGCCCGGACGCCCCGGCAGCGCTGGCCCGAGACCTTTCGGATTCCTAGTTGGCTTTTCTCCGTTTTCCGCCACCTCGGGAGGCGCTGCGTTCGCTGTAGATGCCATTGTGCTGGCTGCTGTACTCAACGAGAGCGCTCAAGCTGTCAGCATGGATGCTTCGCAACTCGACCCTTGAGCTGATACTGAACGGAGAATCTACACGTCGAGATGGGCGCACGGGAGCTGTGATGCGCGGTGCGGTGTCACCGCAGACAGATCACAACTGCTTTTTGAGCTGATGACTGCAGGATCATACAGCCGTGGTTTTGCGCCAAGCAAAAGTTACACGGATCGATCGGTGAACGCCCATTGGTGCAAAGCTCGCCCAAGGGATCAGCTGGGCGGGAAAACGCTTGTAAGCGGCATGGACCAGAGCCATAGGGATCCTCAGCCGAAGATCAATGACATTATTCAGCGCACTGTCAGCGGCTTTGTTTGCTGAGCTGCAATGGCCTTCACCGCTGCCGTCCCAGGGGCTCGCCGCTTTCAGCACTGTCGCCGCCGCCATCGCCTGCCAATGCCGCGTCAGCCGCCGTGTCTGCAGACGCCAGCGAGTCGTCGCTCGTTGTACCTGCGGCGGCGGGACATGCGCGGTCCGGCAACGGAGCAACCCCACTAAGCTCACGAGTCGACTGGCCGCGCCTGAGCACCTGCACGTGCAGTAACAGTCACAAACCGCCCGCCAAACTTGGCGTCCCGACCCAAATCCATTCCAAACAAGCCCCCAAGCGGCGCGCGAAGACCGACCTGCCGCCACCGCCTCCGCCTCCTGCTCCCGCAGCGCAGCTTCCAGCAGCTCCTGCCGCCGCCGCCGCTGGCCCTCCGGGTCGTCGTATCTGACCTCCTCCACCACGCTCTTGCTGGCCGCGAGCGTGTGCCACACCTGGCAGTGCTGGCACTGGCAGAAGACGGCGCCGCGCTCCCAGGCCACAGGGTTGGTCAGGCGCGCGGTGCGGCCGCCTGGCGGCAATATGGAATTGAGGGGTTGGGGTGGTACGAGCTGAGTCGGAAGGAACATCACAAGACGCATGGCTTGCGCCCACATGGGCGACCTCCAAACGAGGACTCCTCAAAATGCTGCTTGTCCTGTCCGCCATCTGAGCCTGTGAGCAGCCGAGGTCTGCTGCTCGCGCCCCCGCTCGCGCAGTGACGACGTGCGCGACAGCACGCGCGTGCCGCATCCCGCCCGCAGCTCACCGCACTTGTTGCAGGTGAACATCACCAGCTTCGTGCGCCGCCCGCCGTCCATGGCCGACAGCGGGATGCGCACCGTCTTGCTGGCCTCGTCATACTCAACGTCGGTCTGGTTCTCATCAGACGCGGGTTCGAGCCTCAGGCCTGCAGTGTTTTTTTGGCGGAAGTGCGACGGCCCTGAATTTGTTCCGCCATGCGTGGCGAGGATGCCGCCGCAGGCAGCTCTGGGCGGCAGCAGCAGCGGCAGCAGCTGTTGGCGAAAGCCGAGAGCCGCCTCGGCAGAGGCGTTAGTGCGCTCACGAGCGGCCGCATCCATGGGCGCACGCCAAACTCAGCAAGGGATTCCAGCAGTTGACGAACAGCGACACCAGCACAGTTCTCTAGGCGCAGCAAAGTGCGCCACACCTTCAGGAAGGGCGTCTGGGATCAGTGGACCGCCTGTCGGGCCTGGCAGCAGCGAAGAATTGCATCTTTGCAGCCGGGCCCGCGCGCTGCGCCACTGCTGATGGCGCGTCGAATGCGGCGCCGCTGCTGCTGTGGCGCAACGAGCCACGCCGCTGCCAATCACATAGCTGCATACATGTGCATGGGGCGTCGGATGCAGCAGAACGGGCCTAGGTGTAACGCGTGTGGTGCCCTCGGCCCTCGGAAGCCGCTGGAAAGCGCGAGCCTGCATGGGATGCAATTGCGGCAGTAGGCTACACGCACAAGTGGTAACAAAAGATTTTCGTGATGAGCTAGTGTATAATGACATTGACGCATTGACGAGATCCATGTTGTGCCTGATGTGGCACTTTTGAAGCCGCCGCCAGGTGGCGAGTTCCGCAATCACACGAGAGCAGCGCTTTCTGCATCTCGTTGCCCTCGCCCTTGAATAGATGGGGTTGGAACCAAGGCTGGATGCATGATTCCTGCATCTGCACGCACGTACTCAGCAGCACCAGGCACATGCATGGAAGACCGATTTCGTGCATCAAATCCGCCCCGCCCCCCCACCACTTGTCCCCCCAGCTTGCAGGGGCACAGGCATCGGACACCAGCGGGTGCAAGATTACATTGTTGAACTTGTATTTCAATTCAGTGCGTCAACAGTGCAGTCGTATAGACTTCAAACGCCCCTGGTTGAGAGCAAGCGGTCATCAAGGAGAGTATTGCCCAGGAAGTGTTGGGCAAGGAATGTGCTGCCATACAGGAGCCAGGCTCCCGCATCAGAGGAAGGTGGAGGTATGCAGGTGCCTTTTCAACTTCCCCAAGTTCATCAGCGGGCCGAAATCCCAGCCGTTCAAACCCTCGCGCCACAAGCAGCGCAGCCAAAGTCGCAAGTGCCCAAAGGAAGTGCTCAACCGCCAAAGGATGCAGGCAAAGTTTGCTTCGTTTAAACTGCTGCCTTGTAGTTCAAAGCCCACACACACCACACTCCAAATGCTGCTCATGATAAACACCACACCAGCCCGCAGAAATAGGATCCAGGCGTAATAGAGGGCCGAGCCGCACGGGGCCCAGCCGCGGCGCAGCGGCGCGCCCGTCACGCCTTGCGGCCGCGGCGCGGCCGGGTGACCTCAGGAGCGTCGCCGCCGGCGTCATCGCCGCCGCCGCCGCTTCCATCGATGACGTCATTGCCGCCGCCGCCGCCGCCGCCACTGCCGCCGCCGCCGCCGGCCAGCTGTCCGTGGCAGAAGCAGCTGACCAAGTGGTCGTTGACCATGCCAGTGGCCTGCAGGACGCGTTGCGTTGGCGATGATGGGCTGGCTTACGTGTATACCAGGATGGGTGTAAATGGCTGTATGCCCGTACAGGAATGGATACGTCAATGCACGCGACAGGTGATGGGTGTTGAGGTGTGCGCGTGTGGGAAGCGGGGATGTCGGGTGTGCACTCCACATGCGTGCAGGGTGTTTCGCGCCTGACAAGCTGGGCAAGGGTTTCCAGTTCTCATGAAAACAGAGGGCCGCAACCGCGTGGTGGGGGCGGAGCCAAGGGGGTCGGCGCCCCGCACGCAAGGGGCCACCCAGAGAATACACCGCACGGCGAGGGCAGGCACGCGTGTGCAGCCACAGACGACCCCGCGGACGGCGCAGCGCACTGCACAGTCGTTCTAGCGGCGCAGCCGGGCGGCGGCCTCAAACCCTTGCACTGAAACGCACGCAGGGGCACCAGCACGGCAGTGTGCCCAGCGCGCCTGCATGAATGAGTAGCAGGTGGTTGGCAAGCATGCCGCATAATTTGTGTTGGCCCCCCAAGTGCGGTGCCCCCCCCCCACGCCAGCGCCGTGCACACCTGCATGAAGGAGTAGCAGGTGGTGGGCCCCACAAAGCTGAAGCCCTCCTTCTTGAGGGCCGCGCTCAGCGCCGCGGACGCAGGCGTGCTGCGGCGTGGAGGGGCGGCCGCGCAGGGTGGGGCGTGATGTAATTTTTTCAGAAGGCAGGCGTCAGCGCTGTGGTGAGCTGGGAATTGGGGGGTGGGGCGTGCATGGAGGGCTGCCATGAATTCCGGCACCAAATGTTTGGGCGGGATACGGAGGGGTTAAACGTGGGCCGGAGCCATGCAAAAATTCAGTTGCAAAGGCGTGCATGGATAGGTATGCCCTTCAGGCGGCGCTGCGGCAAGCTGGTGTTGCCACACCGCCTCAGCGCGCGCCTCGCGCTCCCCCACCAGCGAGTGCGATCCTCACAGCACTTGCATGCGCCGTGCGGCGCTCGACAAAACGCTCTCACAGCTCAAAGGCGCTCAAGCCAAGCCAAATCCCCAGCCGGATCAAAGGCCAGCCTCGCGGCCAAACCCTGAACCGGTACCCCCCCCCCTCTCCCCCTCAAACCCTTGCACCTGGCCAGCACCTGAGACAGCACTGACCCCCCTCTTGTCCCGCGTGAAAACCTGAACCCCAAGCCCCGTCTTTCACCTGTAAACCCTCGCACCTTGCCGGCACCTGAGACAGCTCTGTCCAGTGGTTGACCACCGGCGTGCCCCCGGGGCCCGCGAACGCCCAGACCCATTCTGAGAAGCTGCCGTGCACCTTCTGGATCTCCAGGACGCAGCTGGAGGGGGGGAGGGGGGAGTGTGGGGGTCAAGACCATGTGCTGGGTCAGGCGTGGGTGCTTGTGACGCGCCTTTGTTGTTCAACATACTCGTGACAGGCTGCGTCCAACAGACTGCGCCGCCGGCGACGAGAGTGCACAGCCGCCGGTGTGTTTGGGGGCGGCTGGGGCCGGGAGCCGTCGGGAGGGGCCGGGCCCGACGCCCGCCCCTGGGGAGGGGGTGCCATCTGTTGGGGGTTTTGGCGGCGTCAAGGCCAACAGCGGGCCGGCGGGCGGGGGCGCAGGTGCGTGCTCACCGTGCGTTGTTGATGGCTGATGCGATCTTCGCTCTGTGCCTCACGATGCCGCTGTCGGGAGCCAGCAGAGCCTCGACCTGGGGG